AACTTGGAATATGTAATGGGCATCATGGATATGATCAGAGGCATCAATAGACCTAAACAAAACAGTCCTTAAAGGATAATTCACAAGCAAATTCATCTGATTTCTTCTCTTCTTATCACTCCAAGCATCAGTCATAATAGAAACCCCATACTGAGCCCATGCATCCTTCTTAACTTCTACAGCTTCCTTCGTGACACTCGTCGCTTTTTTCATAAGAGGCTCTGAAAGCTCATATGGGGTTGGGGTTTTCATCCTAGGCCCAAATTGGCCAATTGCCTCTACCGCAACATAGAAGCTGCTTAGGCGAGCGGTATTGAAAGGAATGCCTGCCTCATAAAACCATGTAGCAACATAATAAGCAGCTCTATCTCTCTCTTCCTTCATTTTATTTTCAATGGTGGTTTACTTTTTTGTTTTCTCTCCTGCAACCTCAAGATCAAGCCAAGGCAAAAAACTATCCAAAGGGCCTCTAACCCGAGGCTTCTTACTCCCAAAACCAGAAGCAATTACAACTCCCTTTCCCTTCCCTCTAATAATGGATTGTTCTATCTCTTGACATCCCTCCCGAATCCTATCCTCATCACTATCATCATCAGTATAATTGACCCGAACCCCAGACCTAATCTTTGCTATGGAGGCATATCTCTCATCTTTTTTTCATTTTTATCATACTAAAAAAATTGATTATTTCCTCTTTAACAACATCAGGAGTTTTTTTACATGGGGCAACATCCCCCCTAATACCGGCAAGATGTTTCTTGAACCGATTTATACTCCCTTATGTATCCTTCTTACAAAACTTGCATCTTATGCAATTTTTATCATTTGGATCTAGGTTGTAGCCATATTTTCAACCGGGATCACCACTCTTATTAGATTCCGAAGAAGATATATCAAAACAATACAAGTTAACAAGCAATAAAAAAATCACGTACCTTGATTGCTTAATATCCAAACTTCCACCTTATAGATGCTTCTAAGAATCAAAATCTTCTAAAAAACCCCCAAATAGATTTATAAAACATCAAAAATTAAATTTAATATCAATGAGTGATGTTTTAATCAATTTCTCATAACTTTGAGAAATCCTTCGATCCTAAAGAAATCACCAAAAACTAGTTTTTTGGGAGCTCTCTCTCTCTAAAATAGGCTCTAATGAGTTTTAGGTTTCAAATGAACCTAAATTGGCCCCTTAGTATAAAAAAATGGACAAAAATAGCCCCCACAGAAAGCTCTTGGCGTCTCTGGGCGAGACGTTGGACCTGGGCGCTGGGGGGTGGCCTAGGCGGTTTCTTGGGCATCTAGGTGAGCGCCTCAGAACCTCCACGTTTTTTAGGCGCCCAGGCCCAAAACCTTCATATTTTTTGGGCGCCTAGGCCAGGGCGATGCCCCCAGGCGCCCAGATCTACCTAGGCGGCCGCCCAAGCACTCGACGGGTCCGCTTTTTGAAACACTAGTGAACACATGACCCCAATCTCTCATACTTGATTATATAATATACATTCTCAAATAGTTGGATAGGGCTTGGATGATGATGTTTTAAAGTTTTGTTTATAGTTGGATGAAAAATGTTATACATAAAATACAATTTAAAATTACATGAATATGGAAACAATTACCCTTCTTGGTGAGAGGCCTTGGAGTTCTTTCCCAGGTTTCCCTAGAATATCTCTCTCCTATGCATTGCTCCGGAGGTTCCCTAGATGCATATCTTGTTGAGAATCAGATTTCAAATTCATTCTTTTATTAAAACAAAACGAGAGGAATGTAGGCCTCTAATGAACCAAATGGTAAAGACATGAGAGCATATAGCTTGCTCCCACAGGAGCACACTGTACATCTACTCCCTTGGGCAAAATACCTACATAGGAGGACTTTCTGGATCTGAATTCTTGGAATCCACTTTAGAATCACCCGATGAGTTTTTTGAGAAAAATAAAATTTGATTTTGAGTTCCGAGACACTCGGATCTGATCAGCTGAAAATTGGATGGTCTCCTTAAGATATTATTTTACTCTGTTAAATGTGTGTATGGGTCTATGGGTATTCTGAGATTGGAAAAGAGAGGAGTGTGTATTCTTTTGGCGAGACATTATGCTTGATTGCCTTCTTAGTATTCTCGTTTGGAACAATCGTTGTGCTAGGAGAGGCATCTCTGTCTCTTGCAGGGTATGAAGATTCATGTCATCTTTAAGGAGAGTCATGTCACCCTCTGTTTGTTCGTTCTCTCATGTCAATTTTAATTATCAGATCTGCACTAATATTCTCTTTACAGAGCTTCTCGTTAGAAATTTCATTCAGCGTTCATTTTTGTTTTGGGGGCTTGCAGCCATGAGCTCCTTCCTTTTTTTGCAATTCATCTAGCTAATTCATGTCGTTTCTTGGTAAAAAATTATCATATGTGAATCCTTGCTTAATTATGTCTCTTTATTCGGGCAAATGATTGAGGTAGTATTTTACCATGTTGTTTCTCGCTCATAATTCAATTTTATTACTGTTGGCATCAAATTTAAGTGAAGATAAGCCGGTCTAAAGTTCGTCATAAGTTGCCACAGATGATTTGGAATGAATATTTCTACAATTCTTTGATATCACCGTTCTCCGGGTTTTTTAATCAACATTGAAAGGGAGAGAGAGAAAGTGAAAAGAGAATTGCATGGAAAATCCTCTAACGAGTTCATCTTTTTTTCAGAAATAACATGGGGGGAAGCAGTGATTGGGACAATCGTATGATGGACTCTCTGAAAAATTTCGACCTTAGCAAACCTGAGGTCAAGCAACAGTTTGGTGGGTTGAATTATCCAGTGCTTTCTTCAGTCTTTTGCTTGAAGAGCTTTTCTAGGCATTTTAGTTAGTAGTTTTTATCATCAGTATTTGGAAGGCCAGACTGGTAGTCAAACCAGGAACAAAGGGTAGTCACAATATGAAGTGCGTCAGTTTCATTTTGGTCCAATGGCATTAAAAAATAGTAGTTGAACCACCTTTGTGGCAGGTCTGTTTGAATCCTGATGAAATGCTGGTCAATGCCATATCAATTCCATTAACAGTTGTGCTTTGAATATTCTTATTTATTATTTTGGCTAGGAATTAATTGCTTATCGAGAAGGAAATAAAACACATCCACGAATAAGTTCATGCATTTACATGTCTTCCCATGGGATAAATCATTTCGTAGATCAACTTGCACAGGAGAGTCTTTAATTCACAATTTTAAAAAATAAATATCTTCTTGTGCATGGACAAGATGTAAGATCCTACATACTAATCAAATGAACAAAAATTACATGTTTTTGGGCTTGTTCTTTATGGAACCAACCACGCAATATCTGATAAAGCTCATGTTGCATCTTCTAAATTACGTCCATTTTGCTGATACTGCCACTTACAGATCAAATTGGGCTCACACCTGAAGAAGTTATTTCAAAAATTATGGCAAATCCAGATGTTGCCATGGCATTTCAGAACCCGAAAGTGCAAGCTGCCATTATGGATGTATTCACTGTTCCGTGTTCCATTCTCATAATTTGAATGCAATTCTGAGTTATTCGCCCTGACGTCTCACCTTTTTTTTTTTTGCAGTGCTCTCAGAACCCACTGAGCATTACGAAATATCAAAATGATAAGGAGGTGAGGCTTTTGCTTCGGAAGTGAATTGGATTTTTTTTTCCGGAAATGTTACTTTGGAAATATCTGAGACTATATAGAACGAGCATGCTCACAAGAGAGAAAGACCGAGGGAGGGAGGGAGGTGTTCATGTGCATGTGCATGCATTTGGTGTGCATGTGCATGCATTTGGTGTGCATGTGCATGCATTTGGTGCATGTGCATGCATTTGTGAACGGCTTCCAGTAGTTGCAAGATTGATTAAGGACCTTGGGCAGTCCTTGTACTTGTCCTTGTCCTTGTCCTTGTCCTTTATGGCTTTCGATTTTGGAGTTTGAAAGATTTGAATTTAGGTTTCAAACCTTGAACTTTTGGGTTGTTCATGGGCTTATTGGTCTGTGAGGGATTGTAATCTTGATTTTCTTGATTGATTTGACTTAGTGAAAAAAAAAAAAATATCTTGATTTCTTTGATTGATTGAAAGCTTTGTTAATTGAAAATGTGCATTCTAAGTTATATCGCAGGCAAGGAGTGGGGAGAGAGAGAGAGAATGAGAGAGAGAGAGTCAAGGTATTTCCATCTAAATAATCCTTTCTAGATTTATTTAAGGCTTTATTTTTTGGAGATATAGAGAGATTCATTGGCCATTAGATTTGAAATCGGGTGGTTTAAGATGTGTTATAGTTGGGCACAAAGCCCAAAATAAATTTCTGGAATATTGTGACCTTTTTATCCATTGGACTTCACTTCCAATGGTTAAAGAAGATTATGACCTACTTGTACCAAAAACAAATGGTCTCATAGTATACACTTCCTTTTTATTTTTCTGTTAGTATTTTTTTTCATTAGCTTATGTTTGAAAATTCCCTCTTTATACTGTTCTTTCACAGGTAATGGATGTGTTCAACAAAATCTCTGAACTGTTTCCTGGGGTGACGGGTCCACCATGAGTCCATTGATACAGCTGGGTATTTTTCTTTTCTTTGATCTGTCTTTTATTTATTCTTCTTTTGTATTCTCTACTTTTTATTTCTTCCTCTTTATATCCTTGTTTGTTTCATTTCCTTTTTCAGGGGTATCGGATTATATGTATTTAATAGCCAATTTTGTAGTTCGTGTTGGTATTGGGTCTTTTTTGAAAGTGAGCTCACTAGTCTTCTCGTGCATCTGATCATGTGAAGATCTGGGCCCTGAGCAACATAATCTCCTGTGGTGATCAGTTATTTAGGTTGTATAGTAGTACTATAAATTGTCCTTGTTTTACTCTTTTTGGGTAAACTAGAGCCACTGAGGAAAACAAAACGCTCAAGTTTCTTTCATGTTTTATTATATATATATATATATGTATACATAATGCATGCATGCATGCACATGTGATTACATGATTAGATTAACTAAAATAATTTGTGTGGTCACAAGTTGCTCTTTCTTTTTTCCTTTTTAGCTTGTTCTTCTTCATGTTAATGCATTGTGTACACAAATGAGTGCATACATGTATACTTTCAAATTGTTGACCTTATTGAGTACTAGGCAAATAAAGAAAATAAAATCTGTGTTTCCGTTCACATTTTTATATGCAAAGACATGACTAGAGTACATAGATGCACTTGCACAAGGTTAAATTTTCCCATGTGAATAGTTGAGATGGCACCCTGACTTAGTTCACTGCTGGATCTGTGGGCTCAGTAATCAGCATGATTGTTTGTGTGCATCCGGTGATCAATGGCTCCGCAGAGAAGTTTTTGATATGCCCTACTGACCCATCCAATGGTGGTTGGCATCCCTCATGGTGTATATGGATGTTTATGAATCCCCCTCCCCTCTCAATCTCTCTCTGTGTTTGTGGGTGCATATACGTTTGTCAAGAACTTCAATGGTGAATAAGCGATTCCAAGGACGATTGATGCTGCTATGTACTCTTTAAGTTACAAAAATGTCTCAGGAACCGCAACTTTTACCCTTTTAAGTAACTGGGCATGTTTACAGATGCCGCATTACCTTAAAGAAGGTTTTATTTAGTTTGATTGAAAGGACAATTGAAACTGCTATTTATTAGTTTTATAAATGCCACAAAAGCCCTAACGTTTGCTCTCGTTAAGTTACAGCGCCTGGGCACATGCTGCATTAACGTGAACCAGGATTAATTTTAGTTTAGTTGTTTATATGCTAGTGGGGTCAGTTTTGGTTTCTTTGTTTGGTGTAGACTGGGTTGTGATTTTTCATGCAATGTAAGACCTTAATTTGGTTTGAAGAGGCAGAGAGAGAGAGAGAGGGGTGTGATTATTCACAGAGAGGGGTCTTGGTTGTGGTTGTTCGTGGAATGTAAGATTTTACTTGGTTGGAGAGAGAGAGAGAGAGAGAGATCCATGGCATGGATCCATGCCATGGATTCTGGGTTTTATCTTGCATATTATAGAGAGCTATGGCATGGATCCTTGGGTCTGGTCCTGCGTTGTGGGCCATGCACCATCTGCCTTCAACAACAAATGTGCCGTTGTGGATACACAATGGATGGCCTTTTGGGACAAAAGCAATATGCATTCTGTATGATATCCCTTCGAGCGCTGCCAAAAAGGTCAATCCAAAATAAAAACATTTAGTTTTGTAAGTTACAAGCACCAGTAAGCAATAAATCAGAAATTGTGTGATTAAAGACAAGAAGTCTACAAATAAATTTTTTTTAAATGCTATGACATATTTCAATATTTTAAATTGATATTTTATAATTGAGAATGATTGTAATTTTTTTGTACCAAAAGTAAATGGTTAGTTTGTTGCAAGGACTTGTGAGGATTTTTTTTAGACAATGTCTTTTGAGTCAAAATCATCTTTGGAGAGTTCAAAAGATTTCAATTAATATTTGTGGGTTTATTTATTATTTTTTCTTTCACTTTGGTACTTGTGAAAATTGTCTTTATAAATAGGGAAAGTATCTCGATACCTTTTATTTTTAAGTTTCATTTCATAGTAGACTCAAGGTTTTAAAAGATATATTGGGATATAAAAATTGTAGATTTTATTTCTTCTAAAATTTTGAGTTATTTTAAACCTTGTTTTTTACATCAAACAAATTTAAAAGACGTGCATTTTGTAAAAGTCATTTTTTCAAAGTTCTCTTTTTCTCTCACCTTGTATCTTTTTTCTCTCTTTTTCTCTCACCTTGTATCTTTTTTCTCTATTTTTTTCATCTTTAACCTCTCTTTCCTCCGGCTCTTTTTTTTATATATTTTTTTATCTTTTTTCTTTTTCTCTTCTCAAATACAAAATAAGTATATTAATAGAAAGAGAGGTATTTTGATAAACACACGAAAAGAGGTATTTGGTGGTAAGTGGTTATCGGGAGGAGAGAGAGGAAGGTGTTTGGATAAATACAATATGTTTGGATATGCATGAGAAGATGGAGAGAAGTGTTTGGATAAACATGAGAAGACAGATGGAAGTATTTGGATAAATATGGGAGAAGAGTGATTGAATGACGAAATAAGAGGGAAATATTGAAGTTTGGGGTATATAAATGAAGAGAGAGAGAGGAATGTGTTTAGAAATAGTATGTTTTTTTAACATTTGTTTAGGTTAAAAAATGGATTTAAAATGGCTTGGGAGTTGGAAGATATTTTTTGAAACTTTGAGTTTATTGACAAATAAAATATAAAAAGAGGATATATAAAGATATTTTTCTTATAAATATCCAAATCAATTTTGTCCGAGCAAACAATAGCATTTTAATGATTTGGCCCACTTTAAACACGTAAAGCGTGAATTTGGCATTTTTGTTATATTTTTTGAGAACGTATATAAGTGAAACTAAAAATTAACAGTGAACACTCTAGTGTTAATTGGGATATTATCACCTCCTTAATGGTTTTCAAGTGGTTTTTAGCCCCTTAAATGATCCTTGGGTGATGGAATAAAATGCACTCAAGAGAGAGATTATAACCTATTGATTTCTCTTGATTTAATTTTGAAAAGTATAGACATGACTATGAGTTGAAATATTTGAAAATTGGTTAAATATTAAATAATAGATAACTTAGGTGGTATGGATAAGTTTCCCATGATGCTTTCCCTTTCGAATTTTCTCTGTTGGAACTTGGAAGTACTACTAAAAAAAAAGACAGTTATTTTGATCTTCGTGAGGTGATTTCATGTGAATTCCTTCCTATATTTGGAGTATTTGGACATTTGCGTGAGATTGGATGCAAAGAAAGAAATATATGAAATTAGATTGGATGGATCCGTAGGAAAAGGTTGTTTAATGCTAGAAAACTCTCTGGCCGATCATCTCGACCATGAGATATATGTGTATTAAAAAAAATCAAAAGTCTTATAAATAGTGCATAATGTAACACACTCTGGATCATCTATTTGTAATTGTTTTTTTAGCCTTAAATTTTACAATTATGGGTGGTAATGTTTTTTTAGACCATCATGAGGCTTCATGCCTACTTTGATGTTTAAGGTATGCATTATTATATAAGGGATTGTCGACAAAGAGAAAGAGATAAATGGACCACACAATCATTCTCATTCATTAGATGTCAAATTGGAGGGCTTGGGGTGAGTCTCGAAGTTCAAGATTTTTGTTTTGGGAACTTTGTGTCTATTTAATGACACTCTTACAACTATCCATTTTGAAATTTAAGGGACAAAAATGATTGTGATCTTCTTATACAAAAAATAAATGGTCTCTTGTAGACAATACCATTATACCTTATTCAACAATCTCTAATCCTAGTACATTATTGTGGTGTATTATTGTCTTTTCAAGTATAAAAGTACTTTGATAAGGTTCTTTCCCTTGAAAAATATACCGGAATATCTTATCATTTGAGGGAGAAACGAGCTCTTAGCGATAATTTATATAGTTTGCCCGTTCATATGTTCATGTTCTTTTGTGCATTAACAATGTACATGCATGTGTTTGGTAGCTAATATTTGTTTACCATAATATAATTTTCTTGTTTTGTGGTGTTTTGGTTTTGGAAAAGTATACAAGTGACCCTTTACTATATGAGGAGGGCACAATTAGTCTTGACTATCATATTTAAAATCAGGTGGTTGAGAATATATCAATGACTAGACTCAAAAGTTCAAAGAACATTTTCAAACGTTGTGTACACCCCATCCAATTTGAAATCTAATGGCTAAAAATAATTGTGACTTTTATAATAAACATAAATAATCCCATAGTATATGATCCCTTTAGTTTTTTCAGCTTTTTCTTATCATTTATTTACTTTTTATTTTTATCTTTGAGTGTTCTAAAATTCAATTTGCTCAAGAAAGGTATGATAAGCAATGGCTATCTAAAAGTATCATATAGTCTTCAACGAGCGTCAAAAAGTGAATAGATGTTAGGAAGCCATTAACAAAGGGAAGGAAATGAAGTTGGGGCATCGGTGGTTACGAGGCATATGCCTCAACATAACATCCCAACCCTCCATTTGGCTAATAATGGAGAAATATATTATGAATGTCATAATAAAGTGAATACATGTTGGGAAGCGTTGTCTTCTTCTTATGGTTCTAATCGGAAGTCAAAGGAACACTTCAGAAGATTCCAAGAACAAAATGGATAAAAAAGGCAGCAAATCAAAATTTTGGTAAACTGTGTAAGGTAGGTGGAACAATTATTTGCACTATTTTATCAGTGTTTTTTATATGGACTAATTATTAATCTAAAGTAAATATGAATGCTTATATTTACAATTATGGAGAATTTTGGTAGTAACTTCTTGTTGAAAGACTACTAATAGATTACTTTTTTCTAGTTCTGATTCTAGCGTTACATGGATCGGATATCAACGTCCAGTATATTAGCCGAAAAAAACGATACAGCTAGACATGTCGAAACAATTTTTTTTTTTTATCAATAGAATATTTTATTATAGTATAATATATAATATAAATTTCCAATTATATCATCTATATATAATATTATATTACACATATATTATTTCGTATATAATATACTGTAATATTATGGAAAACATTACAAAATGGCTATAGGTGAAGTACTGTGAAGTTCTACAATATTTCACCTACGGTTTGTCACCGTCCAAAATCCATCACACAGTCATGGTTGAATTCTAATAATTATTTTAATAGTTAGATTTATTTAAAATTTGTGACATGTGTACATATGACCAACTCCAATGAAAAAAAAAAAAAACAATTATCAAAAAATAAAATGATAGAAATACACGTGAAATTTTATAGTGGTATTTTAGGTCATTTTTATAATCCAAATTATTGTTATCTATAATTTATTCAGGTGCGTTCACTAAGGCGAGTACATCTATAAAATTTCATATCATTATGATTTGTAAACAAATTATTAAATTTCAAATATTATCAAACATCTGTGATCGTGTGATGAACTTTAGACGGTGATGAGCTGTAGTGAAGTACTGTAGAGCTTCACTTATAAGAATATTATAGTGTTTTCCTAATATTATAGTACACTATATACACACACACATTTGACATCTAATGAGTAGGAATGCTTGTGATCTCCTTGTAATAAATATTATTGTGTATACTAAAGAGGAATGATATCATGCAACCATGCCATTGTAATATAATGAAACCACACTTCTGGAAAGCCATGTTTGTGGTATTTGAACACATATTTTCTTCATCTCAATAATCGATTCCAAAAAACAAAATTCATTTTGCATCCTATCTATTGGTGAATTTCAAGATCTTGGTCTTTATGATCAAATTTTTCCTTTTTAACATTGTTAATATAATGATGATAAAGCCATCCAAAAAATTTAGAAAGGAAAAATATCCTTCTAAGGCCTAGATCTAAGCACCGTATTAAAATGGACATCCTCTATTAATTGGGCTAGAAAAACACTTTGAGGGATGTGTTTTCAAATTTTTCTTTTTTTACAATTGTTCATTAGAATGAAAATAATGTGTATTTAAAAATTTGGGTTAAATAAATGGTTTTTGAAAATTATTTCATAGCATTACTATACAACTATAATATATAATATAGTCTGATTCTACATAGGCCACGTGTCATAATAACAATGTCTGATTCTCTAATCTCAGAAGAGGATTGTGGTGTCATATAAGGCATATTACGCT